CTAAATGAAATTATTATACAATTATTTTTATTAATTGAAAATAGTAATAAAATAATAATATTAAATAACATTAAATAATATTAATATTATTTATTATATAAAATTACATAAAAATTTCAGTAATATAAAATATAGTTGGTTACATATAAATGCTGACATTTTAAAAATTTCTATACCTTTATCACAAATCAATAACAAAAAATACAGAAATTAAAAATTAGAAGTTAAAAATACATGCATTTACTAAAGATCTGGCGACAAAATGAATTACATCATTAAGTAATTTCATTGCGTTGGTGTGACAAGTTTCTAACAAAACTTTTTATATTAAGTGAATATAGAAAAAAAATCTTATATATTTTTTTAATGTTAATTAAAATTGTTTAATTCTTATTTGGTTGACATATAAACTTGTTAATAGCATTAATATATCGCTTGAAAATTGATTTTAAAAAATAGCTAAAGTAAGAAAAAATTATACTGATATAAATGAGATTCTTGATATTTTATTCGATGATATTGATGAGGAAAGTGATGTTGATTTTTATCTTGGAGACTCTAGTGGTTCTGAAAGTGTTTTAGAATACGATAACAAAGAATTGTTACCATATTCTCAGGATAACAAAGAATTGTTACCATATTCTCAGCATTTATCAACTTGTAAATAAAAATAAAAATCATATAACTATTTTTATTTAAACATTAAAATTAAAAAAAAAAAAAGATTTATTCGCTATTCTCCTACTATAAAAAAAATCAATTAGAACCTTTTTTTTGTTTTATTAAAACAACTTGTTTTAATAAAACAAATCGTTTGTAAATGCTATTAAGTGGAATCATCTATAAAGCACGTCACCCTAATTTTGTCAATTCTAAACCCCTTCCCTCCTGTCACAAGCCTTCACATATAACTGAACCTCTCTTCCTCCTAAACTCTGATAGCAGTTTTAATGTCAAAAATATTTTAAAGGATTTAAATGTTAATTCTTTGCATCATTTTAAAAATTGAACCTATTGAAAATAAGGCATAAGAAGTAAGGAGTGTAAGTAAAAACATTGACAAACTAAAGAGTTTTTTATTTAAATGACTCAAATAAGTATTAATAAAGTTGTACTAAAATAATTTTTTAAAGTTGCTATGGTCTTGCTGAAAAACTGTTTTCGATTTGATAACTTTCATACCCTACGGGCATTTGTTTTTAAAAGTTACGTTGTAAATGTATTTTAAATGTCTTTTAAACGTCTTTTAAACATTCTTACGTAAAAAAAGTTTAAAAGACATTTAGAACGTAACTTTTAAAAACAAATGCCCGTTGGGATAAATGTTATGAAGAATCATTCAGGAAAAATGACACCAGTTTTTTAAAACTTTTTTTAACAATAAGTTCAATACTTTTGCATTTTTTTTGTTTTGTAATTCTAACTCTTAATAGTAGATACAAAAAATCAACAATATCTACTATAGCATATTTATGTAATAAATTGTTACCATATTTTTGTTACATTAAATAAGAATTTTCAGAAAAAGAAGAAAAAAACGAAGAATAATGAAAGGAAAGATTGCTGACCCACACCAAACCCTCAGTTAATGTAGCAGCATTCCACTGCGAGTCAGGCAATGTTTTAAACTATCTTAATTCAACTTCATAACGGTATGGTAATTTTTAATAATATTAAAAAAAATTTGTTGGGATTTATGTCATAACTCAGGTAATGTTATTTTTAGAGGTCTACATTATTGTATATTGCGTTATAACTTAAATAATGTAAATATTAGTTAAATTAAATTTCAGCTGATTTTAAATGGGTTTTTTTTTCTAATCATATTTCAAACATTGAAGATGTTGGCAATATTATTACTAAAAAAGCTGCAGTGAGAAGGATAAAATCTAAGCTCAATTTGGGGTTCATATTAGAAGCATAGAGAATAAATCACTATGGTCAAAAAAGAATAACAAGTGCCAGAGAAAATAGAAAAACTAATTATTTATCTACTATATTTTTGTAATAAACTGTTACCATTTTTTGTTACTTTAAGTAAACTAAATCAGAAAAAGAAGAAAAAAAGAAGAATAAAAAGAAAAGATTGCTGCCTCATGCCAAACCCTCAGTTGATGTAGCAGCATTACGCCGTGAGTCAGGCTATTGTATGTACTGATGTATGTACTGATGCCCCTGGCCGCAGGCTTTTTCTGTATGACGTCAGACAGCTCACCTAAACCAGCAGTATACGATATATATATATATATATCATATCATATAGCAGTATAAGATATATATATCAATATATGATATATATATCATATAGAGTACATTAAGGGGTCTTAGCGTATATTTTAAAAAATATATGCTGAGACCTTAATGTATTCTATATGATAAAATATATATATATATATATATATATATATCAGGCCTTTGCACAAAGAAAATTGTCCAGCGCGATGTTTCATGCTCGTGAAACTTGAATACTTTTTTAGTGACTGCCATTATGCACGCTCGTCATTAAGTTATCAGGAGCGATCTTTTATTTTTGGATACAAAACACACAATTTTATTAATTTGTAATTTGTTATAGAGGGTTCTTTAGACAATAATTATTTTTAAATTATTATTTAGCAGCGCACTGCCTGACAAAACGTTTAAAATTCTTTCAATTTCCTAAATACTTATTTATTATTTGATCACATCTGATTGTATTTTTTTTTCTACCTAGTTCTTAATGATCTTATTTTAAAAGAATAAATTTATCTTTTATGTATTTTATATAAATTATATAAATTTATCTTTTATATTGTCTTCTTCTTTAACTTAATACCAGTCAAATTTTTTTTATTATTACATCGAATTTATTTGAAAGAAGTTCATAAGCTTTCATTTTTTTCATTGATTGATTTGTGTAATTAAAATATAAATTCATAATGTTTTCGCATCATTAAAACATTAAAACAATGAAATAACGATTTCTTTTCATTAAAACATATTTAATGTTTTATTACTGCTAACGCTAATAGAACTTTTATAACTTTTTTAGCGAACATTTTCACAAACTTAAACTTTTCTTTTTCTCAAATAAATTTATAATTTTAATTAAGTTATAAATAGTATAAGTTATAACTGTAATAACAAAAGCATTTTAAATTTAGTTAAATTTTGTCCGGAAAACATTTCTAATGCTCTAATTTACTGAATGACGTAGGTAAATATTTAAAAAACGAGTTTTTAAATGCAATTAAAAGTATGCGAATAGTGATTATTTTGTTTTTAACGATAACCAAACTATTACATTCAAACACAACGTTTTTAGAAATATTTTTTTCAAAATTAAATAAAAACTTTTAGTATTATAAATATGGTTTTTAGCAAATGCTTTTACAAAATTAAATTAACAACATTTCTCATAATTAATTTATATTTATTACACAATTTAATATTATTAATAAACTTATATAAATAAAATTTTATTTAATTTTGTTAAATGTTTGCTGTAAACGCTTTATATAAATGTCTCATTCACAATCACCATTCATTGTAGAAATTTGTACTCTAATTTCAACAGAATGACGTAAGTTAACTTGAAAAAATGAGTTTAATTGAAGTGTAACTTTAATATTTAATAACTTTTTTTTTAATTAACCAAGAATCTTTAACAAAAACTTTTTATAAAAAAAATTTGATATAAAATCAAGTTAAACCATTATTAGTTTTCACCCTCTCAAATTTTTAAAACGAGCGCAATTTTTTTTTAATAAAACGACAACAAAATCACTATTAATTAAAAAAAAGTTTTTAGTCATTATTATTGCAGTTTTTTTAAAAAACAATAAAATTTAATCTACTTCCACACTAATTTAATTGTTTTGACATTTTTTGACATTAAAAGTCTCTTTCGACTACGATAAAAGGATATATATATATATATATATATATATATATATATATATATAATATATATATATATATATATATATATATATATATATATATATATATATATCACAATTCATTTTATAGATAAAGCTAGTTAAACCATAAAAGTATAAAATTATATATTAACCTTATACTTATAAACCAAAAATGTACGGATTAGGGCCCTGCAAATCAGCATTTTTGGTACACAAATTGAAGCAGGTCTTCACTTGAAATGTGAAGTTTAAGCTTTTTTTTATATTATATATTTAAACTGCTTCTTGCCCTGGTTAATGTTTGATTAAAAAGGTATTTGTGGATAAATAAAATTATTTTGATAGCGCCAAATATCTAAAAAAAAAAAAAGAAAATTAATAAGAATTCAAAAAACTTTTTTTGAATTTTTACTTGTTTTGTTTTGGTTGTGTTTTTTAAATCATTTTTTCAGACTTGAATCGAATCTCAAATCAAATAATTAAAAACCAATTCCATTATAAATTTTGAAGCATCACAGGCTAGTATAAATACGTATTTATATGCCATTGTTTAACTAATTAAAATGAGTTTCGCATATTTTACAAAACGCAGAAAAGAAATGTTTTAAAGTTCTTTGATATATAACTGATAAAATTCTAAATTAAATAAAAACAAGATTATTTATAAACAGAAAAATTTATTTGATATATAAATATATAGAGAAAATTATATACAATTTTTATGAATGAGATCCAACTAACTCAGCGTGCCACCATATCTTAAATGCATTACATACTTATTTTCTACATGTAAAAAAATTTCATACTTTTATCTTTTTAATACAAATGCTAATCTGCTGCACTAAAGTACAATTTGCACACTTAGGGGAGAAGGGTATAGTCCTAAAAAATTGCCAAAAAACTAGGTATTTCTGAATAAAGGATCTTTATATATTAAAATACAACAAAAACAAATAATCAAAACAGTAATCAAAACAGGAAACATCGTGGGAGACCAAAAATTAAAATAGTAGCAGAAGATCAATTGATAATAGTAATTTTAAAGCAAAATTGTTGGTTAACAACCCCCAAAGTACAGCAAAATTTAATATATATATA